TGTGGCCAAGGGCCAAGCGGCATTTTGAAACCATTTCATAGTTTTGAATTCCAAGTTTTCGTTCCAAACTTCATTTTTGGCATTTTGGCCGTTAGGGTGTCGTATTTTGCATCGGCCATATTTTTGGGCCATGGACCATTGTAGCACATCTTACCAGGTAAGTTACGTTTGTGTGCATGGTCGTTTCTGGGCAAAGTTTCTTCTTTGGTGAAATGAGCCTCCTACGGACTCATTTTACACTTTTGTTGCATTTTCTGACCTAAGGGTATTTTGGAAATTTTTTTTGGGAAATATATTCCATTCTTCACATAGTTGATTAGAAAATATGATTTTAGGGGGGGTTTCTTTTTCGTATTTTTCCAGAAAATGCCATCTTGGCATCGAAAATCGCATCCGAAGTTCAGCTCTCAGTTTTTAAATTTAGCAGCTTTTTGGACCCTCAGTACCAGTTTTCTTGGGAGGGCATTTTGGGAATTTCACATTATGTATTTTTTGATTTTTCTCAAAAATGATGTAGAAAACTCGATTTTGAGGGGGGTTTCTTCTTTGAGTTTTTCCAGAAAATGTCATCTTGGCCCTCAAATTTCCATTTTTCCTGGAAAAACCCCTGCTGCCAGGTTTTTGGGCTGCCCATCCTGCCTCCTTCACATGTAAACGGTTACGAGGGGTTTCGTAACCGGTTACATGTGCATGGGCAGTGTTTTTGTCGTGAATTTTAGCCTCCTAACCGGTTAGGAAGGCCATCTAACCGGTTAGATGTTCTTGGTTGCCCCCTTTTTGATCGTTTTGCCCCTTCTTCTTCCGTTAGCCATATCTTCTTCATCCGGACTCCGAATCAAGCGATTTTTGAGTCTAAATTTATTAATTTTTCATTGTCTTTCCAATGGTGTACTCATTGGCACCCACTTTTAAGCTGGAAATGACAATTTTGCCCCTAGGTTCATTCTTGTTCGTTTTTGAAACGTTGCTTCCCCATTTGATTCCTTTGGGTTCTGTGACCTCATTGAGTGTCATATTAGTGTCTTAGAGTCATGTTGTAACTCTAGAGACTGTTGTTTTATCTTTTGCTTCCGCATTTCGGATCTGTTTACGGGTCATTTTTTGGTTCATCATTGACGCACCGGGTTGAAAAACTTGGGCCGTCACAACAGCCCTAACTTGACACAAACAAAACACCTTTTCTACAGCCCTCAACAGCCCTTGTACAATGTTGACACATACAACTAAGAATTGAATTTATGTCCTTATCCACTCTCTAGGACCATTGTGCACGTGGCACAATATTGTGAGCCCATCATTACACCAAAGATATTTATGAAATGCCATAAATGCCCTCACATTAGACTTGTAACTGCTACAGCACTTGTCTGTGTATATAAGCCAGAATATGACAACTATGGTGTATTACAACACCAAAGAAGGTGTAACACATTCACACACATGTGTAATGACTGAAATACCCCTATGATACCAATATAGAGAATAGCCATAAACCCTTTGGATCATTTGACATTAAAAGGGCAAACCTCACTTAAAACCAACATAAAGAACCTCCACAATGGTTTACACTTTAGTTGTTTTTATAAGTTCAATGTAAGAAGGTTAAATTGATAATGTTACAAAATATAGTACATTAACTTCTCAATTGGAACAATTATTTGGGGACAACTAAAAATGAAGGGATGCCATATTTGGACTTCACTGTCATACACTTGCACTTCACTTGCCTTTTTCTTCTAAATAAAATAACAAGAAGATCCCTAAATTAATTAATATATCGTCTCTTATTTTATAATACCATAATTACCCTTTATATACTAAATTTTAACTTTTTTTCACCTTCTTTATTTTCTTTAGTACACTACTTTTTTGGATCGGAGCAAAAAAGATAATTTATTCAACAGAGCAAACTTATTTTTTGGGTACTTTTTTTTTTCGTCTTATCAAAATAGATAATTTATTCAACATAAATTACTCTTTTTTTTTTTCTTTTTTTTGGGGTGGGGGGGATCCTAGCAAAAATATAATTTATTTAACAAAGATAACTCTTTATTTTCATTCATTCTTTTTTTTTTTTGGGACCTGTCAAAAGAGACCAAAAACATTAAAAAAATGAAAAGGGCGTAGAGGTTGCATATCAAGAAGGGTAGCGGTGTAATTTAAAAATCAATAATTATTCACTTATGAATTGAGGGTCCGAAGAGTATTCCTTTAAAATGAGAGTACAAAATGAAAAAAAGAATTAGGTCTCTTAAAATGAAAAAATGGACATTATTTATTGGGAGACGAAGGAAATATATAAATTATATACGTGTAGAGAGAGAGAGAGAGAGAGAGAGAGAGAGAAGTTTCAACTAGGATGGGGTTGGGTCCGTGCAGGCTAACCATGGGAAGGGGTGATCGAACCGAAGGCAGTGGCGACGGACCAATCGAGTGGAGCGTGGTAACACGTGCTCTAATCATGAACGGGGGTCAAAATAAAGATGACTACTTTGCTTTGATTGGAATATAGTCGTTTTAACTTTTTCATCGATACCAGTAAAACAGAAGACCGTATACGGAAGAACCATACGGCATTGTCCGACACACCCACATATACCGCCACAGTTGAGTGGGTCCCACTTGCCATCCTAACTACAACGCCAAAGAGCCCCAGCCTTTTGTTTCTGTTGTAACGCCCTTCTGACCCCCCATTTTCTCCCTTACTATTGATTTGACCATTTTGGCCTTCATAGATGATGCACTTAAATTTACCTCCACTGGACTAATGTACCCTTCTTTAATAGTATTGCTTTTTTTTTTTTTTTTTTTTTTTTTTTTGCATGAACATCTTTTTGTAATCAAAGATCTTTGCTAATGTCTTTGGACCCAAAGGGCACTACAAAAATCAAATTTGAGTAGGTGTTCCCATGGGACCGATTCGGAACAATTTTAGATTAAATTAGAATTAAATTGATTTCAATGATTTTTTAAAAATTAGAATTAAAATCAAAATCGTTGAGGCTTGAACCGGACCAAACAGTGAAAGACCGATTTGATTTGATTCCAAACCATAGTTGCTCCTCCTCTTCCTTCTTTTTTATTATCTTTCAAAAAAAAAAAACTTAATAACTTACTACCAGTAACATAGATTTGGCTTATCAAAACAAACACAAGTTTATACAGCAAATGAATAATAATAAACTTTTAAACCAAGAAATAAAATATATTTATAATTAAAAAAGCAAATGAGTTGTCATCCTCAATTTTTTTTTTTTGGGAAGTAAATAACAAATTTAGAAGTAAACAACCATTTGTCATAGTAGCCTCATCTTTATGTGAGGTATATATAATTTACAGTTTGGTTCCGCTCTAATGGACTTGAAATCGAAAACAGAACCGTAAAAGAATTGAATTAAAGTAATCAATTTGATATGATTCCAACTTATTCTACAGTTTTAATAGGTTTTTGTGAACCCCCTAATTTTGAGTGACAGTCTAAGAAGTTGATTCTGATTTTTAATAGGTTTTCGTCTCTTGGTTTTAACAAAAAGAATTTTTAATATGTATATTGATATAGTGATAATTTCATTTTACTATCGGTGTTAATGTTTTGGTTAAAATTAGTATTTAATATAGTAACTCAAAAGTAGGAATACATAAAAATTCGGTGAAGCCAAAAATTCAAATCGAACCAGGGCGGACTGTTTGGTTCTGTTTACTAACAGTTTGGCTCGATTATGGTCCCAAATTTGTATAATCATAAAAATACGGTTTGGTCACGGTTTAATGTCCTTTAAGACCGAACCGTTAAGTTATATATATATATTATACATATAATATAATTCTATAGTGGCTGAATGTTGTTGATTTTCTGAATTTGTGGTGTTTGTTGTTGAATTAGTAGTTCTAAATGTTGTTTACTAATTTACTTCAATTCCAAAAACGAGTGAATAATGAATTAGAAGTTCTGAATATATTAGCAATTTTGATTATATTAACTTATATTTTAGGAGTAAGTGTATTAACAATCTGAATACGTTGGTTAACTTAGTTTATTGATGTACTAAATAGAACCGGTATTTGACAATTTGGTTTGATACGGTTCTTTTGGTCAAATGGTTCGCTTTGTTTCTAATTTTTCTCAAACTACTAGGAATGCTTTGGTTCCAGGAATCTCTCAAACCAAACCATGTGCACTCTTACTAAAATCATACCATTTTTGGTCATAATGTTATTAAATTAAAAATTAGAGATGCCAACGTTCGAAACCGAACTCCTAAGGATAACATGGAGCAACCCAACATGTTCACAAAATCATATCATTAAAGAAACCAGTCTTCTTTTGGATTAACTCTGCATCATAAAATAAAATTCTCTCTAAAATATAATTAAAAATAGTACTTATTGTAATTTTCTTGAAACTCAAAAAAAGTAATAATTATAAATTCATAACTTATTTATTTCAATAAAAACAAGTAAAGCATCTCTATCTTGAGAGTTCTTATCAATTTGCATCATAGCAAAGCAACTCTATCTACATCATATTAAAGCATCTCAAAAATAAAAAAGGTTCTTTGAATGAGTGCTTAGATGAAGCAAACTATTTAACAACTTTAAGAAACTTCCGGCATTTTTTCATTTTTTTGCCACTTATTATGTATCTACCTTTCATGTCTTGATGACACCTCAGACATGACATGCATTATATGCTATCCTTTCAAGTAAAAAACAAGAAAATATAAAGTTGTAAACCAGACAAAAACAAAATTGAAGTTTCTAATCAAATTGTACCTCACCAATAAAACACAAAGAACTAAAAAGAGGTAAATTAGACAAATGGGGGAGGGTAGTCTGGTCAATTCAGAATTAACAAATAAGTACTGTACACAAAAATTGGATGGCATTTTGGAAGTTAAAGTCAAATATAAGGGGTAATAGTATAGAAGAAATAGGTAGATGTCATATCATTATACCCCGTTTGTCTCCCTAGAAGTGGATCTTCGCACGTTATGAATGTATGTATGTATCATTGTATGTTAATTTTAGAGAGAGAAAGAGAAGAGAGAGAAAGAGAGAGAACCGCCAGCTCCTTCGTATGCTTTCACTGCACCACCAGAAAAATACCCCCAACCGAACCCCCCTCTTTCTCTCTCTCTCTCTAACAGTAGCTCCAAAACCTTTCTCTGCAACTCTCTAGATGTAGCTTAACCCTAGTAAGAAAAACGAAAACCATGTGTTTCGACCTCCAATCTGTACTCAAAAATGGTGTTGCTTGTTGATTCTTGTTCCTTTTCTTTGAACCCATGATTTGAAGCTGTATATATATATATATAGTTATATGTGAATATATATGCAAACGCGGATATTCATTGTTTTTTTCCTCATAAATGCGGTGGTGTTAGCTGGTTCTGATGCACAAGCTGTGCTTTTCCTTTTAATTTATTGTGGTATATGAGCATTGGATTTTCAGATGGTTGAGCTTATTATGCTGGTGTGAGTGTACGGACTGTGGAAGATTTTGAAATGTAGTAGAATTAGGGGAAATCGAGCTAGTAAAGTTTGAATATATCGCGCAATTTGCACAAGTTTGTGTAGGATTTGGGGTTTTTGGATGTACATTTTGGTTCAGGAGGTGAAGGAGGTTGAGATTTGATGATTTTGTGAAGTATTGGCTTCGAATCGATGAAGAAATTTCACTGGTTTAAGCAAACATTCAGCAATGGTAAGCTCGAGCGGCGACTATCTCTCGGAGAGTACAAACGAGCGGTTTCTTGGTCCAAGTATTTGGTGTCATCAGGAGCGGAGATAAAAGGAGAAGGAGAAGGAGAATGGAGTGCCGATATGTCGCAGTTGTTTATAGGGAATAAGTTTGCGTCGGGACGGCATAGTAGGATTTACAGAGGAATGTATAAGCAGAGAGATGTAGCAATTAAGCTTATAAGTCAGCCTGAGGAGGATGGTGACTTGGCTGCTTTGCTGGAGAAGCAGTTCACTTCAGAGGTCGCTTTGCTGTTTCGATTACACCATCCGAATATCATAACAGTAAGCTCTCTATATAAAATGAAGTGTTTATTCGTATGAAATTTGGTGTGGCCATTTACTAAAAATAGACATAGAATATGATCCTATTATTCAATGGGATTCAGATCATCTTTGTGTTTTTCACATTCTGATTTTATTTCAATTAAGATGTCAAGTCCTCGTAAAGGGCATGGCTAAATTGTGTAATGTGGTGTCCATTTATGATGTTTCTCAGTGCTAGTATGGCTGCTGATAGTTGATGAATTGTGAAATTGCACTTTAGGCTGGTTGGAAATGGATATACACATGAAACCAGCATTCTTGTTTTCAATGATGAGCTTCTATTTGGGGACCACACTACTTTTGTTTCATGGGAAAGGCACTACTCTGCTTACAAAGATATGCCTTTTTTTGTCCCCCTTTTTTTATGAATTTGTAAATTGGCTGCTGTTTTACAATCCACGCTGGTGCACATCAATTGAGCCTTGTTTACTATGCCTCTTGACTACATATTACCATTGACTTATACCTGCATACATTATTCACTTCTATTAGCTTTAGACTCCTCTTCTTAGGGTAGGTTTGAGTTCTGCTAGTTTTGCCGAATATTCTCACTTGTGGTATTTCTATGTTCACTTTCCTTCTGGCCTTGTAAATTCATCCCAATTCTGATTTGCAAGTCCTAACTCCTGTCATTATTTGATCTAATCTCCTCAAAACAATCCTTCATGCTAGGGAGTTGAATATAAAATAACTACCCTTTCTGCATTATAATAGCCCTAGTTTTTGCAAGTAAAATAGCTGACTTAGTTTTACAGAGACTGATAATTTATTATTCTAATACTTGGTTAAGGCTAGACTATGAGAGAAAGCAAGAATGTTTTTCTTTGAATAAAATTTAAAATTTTTATTTTTTATTTTTTATTTTTTTATATAGTCGATGATATTGCAGAGACTCTTATAATTTACAAATATGTTTTGGATGTTAGTCATATAACAAATTATCAGCTCCAATCTGGCTACAGTTCACTTTAAAAGATCACAATTTTATATGCTGGATACTCGTTATATGAGTATTGGTTATGACCCGTTAAAATTATATTTTTAAAAAAAGACTCAAAACTTCACATCATATCAGTAATCTAGATATCCGTTTTAAATGCTAATGCCCGATTTTTTTGAGAAAAAGTAGCATATCAGCAATGTTTTGTTCCAACTTTGCAAACCTTTTTTCTCACACAAGAATTTTGGAACTTTTGACATCTTGAAACCTTTTGTCATAAATACTTCCAATAATTCATTGACCTTCATTCACTGTTTAATGTGATGTACCTTTTGATAGTGATAATGTCTCACACATGCACTCACACACATGAGCTGGGGAAATCAATTTGATTTTCTATATATTGGTTGAATTTGTGAATTTTGATGAGCAACTAGTTTTGTAGTATTTAGTATTTACAATGCTGAACTTTCCTACAAATAACTTATCTGACCTCTATGTGCATCTCCCACTTTCTTCATGCAGTTTTTTGGAGCATGTAAGAAACCCCCTGTGTTTTGTATAATCACTGAGTACTTGGCAGGAGGCTCCCTAAGAAAATACCTCCATCAGCAGGAGCCATATTCACTTCCCCTCACCCTAGTTCTGAAGTTGTCCCTTGACATTGCACATGGGATGCAATATCTTCATTCTCAGGGGATACTACACAGGGATCTCAAATCAGAAAATCTACTGCTTGGGGAAGATATGTGTGTGAAGGTAGCAGATTTTGGAATCTCATGCTTGGAATCTCAATGTGGCAGTGCAAAGGGATTCACGGGTACTTACCGTTGGATGGCACCAGAAATGATCAGAGAAAAACACCACACAAAGAAAGTTGATGTTTACAGTTTTGGCATAGTCTTGTGGGAGCTTTTAACTGCATTGATACCATTTGACAACATGACTCCTGAACAGGCCGCGTTTGCAGTCTGCCAGAAGGTATTTTGACTTGATTATATCATGTTTTGGTGCATTGTATAATTATTATCACATAGGAAGCTTCCTATTACATGTGTGTCTCCCTCAATGAATAGATTATTATGCAGTCAAATCAGTTTGACATGCCGTTACTCATACATGGCCTTCTTTTGCATATTTCAACAGAATGAAAAATTGTCCAAAATATATAAATAAACAAAAACTTAAGCAGAATTAATAGAATGTATTATTGACTAGCAATTACCCCTAAAGCTGAAGGTATTGAGAATGGGCCCAAAATTGTTTATATAGCTGCCACACCCTCCCTCAAGTGCAACCCCTTATTGAACGCAGTGAGGACAAAAAACCAAATCGAAACCAGCACAATGTGCAACCAAGGCAGAGATGGAGACTGCTCTAATACCATGTTAGACTAACAATTGCCCCCAATGTACATCTAGGTTCAACATGTATTTCTATGATGTTTTCTGTAGAAGTGATAAAAATCAAATTATATAATTCTTATTTTAAGTATAGGCAAGGTTTGGCTCATGGAATTTAAAATTTATAGATATGAGATATCCAGGCAGTGCTTAGTTGTAGTAGTCTCATTATCTGAAGTTCTTAAAGCCTCCATCCCTTCACCAACCTCCGAGAAATGGCTGGATTGCTCGGATAGATGTATTGTTTGAAAATCACTTAGTTGCTGCTATAGATGTCACTAGGGATGACTTCCAATACCTTATAAAGGCAATTTTTTGTTCTAGCACATTGGCAATTCCATTATCAAAATACCTTATAAAGTCTAATTGAATTCCTTATGTAGGTGCAAACTGATATCCATCACACATGGAGATCTATTGCATCTAAACTTTAAAAAATTGAAGCATCTCAAACATGGCACAATAAATAACCCAAACAAATTTGATCCTGTTGGAGAACATCAGAGGAGTGATTTTAGCCTATGATAGAATATTGATTGGAGCGATTTATGGTATTGATTTTAGGAATCCTCCATCAATGTATTTTCCATATTTATCACTTGTATTCTTGCACCTATGAATAGATGTGCTGATTGTAAACAACATTAAGAGAGAATATAATAAAGGTGATGTCGCCCTTTGGGTTTTGTGTGTCTATCCTTCTGTTCTTCATATTTAATTTCTCTCTTCAATTTTTATATCTTTCAACAGATCCAATCATGTTTTTTCTAGCACTTCTTCAGATTTCGAGCACTAAATATAATATTCTTCCATCTTAATTTTTAACCATCCTAAGAATGATAGATAAAATCATATGGCCTTCAACTAGTTGTTTCTCCTAATTTTACAGCATGTTTGAGAACCAATCACACATATCTAAAAAGAGTCAATACTGTTTGTTGTATGGTGGTGATTTATTTCTAATTGAAGATTAAGTGGGCTGAATTCAAAGTCTGAATTCCTAACTTTGAGGAGTTGCTTTAGAATTAGGTAGCTTTGGATTATTAGAAACGGTATATGTGGAAAGCAATTTAATTGTGCTTACAATTTAAGTCACGATTTGTTGAGTTATTTTGAGTTGGGATTCCGTTTTATAAGTTTCAAGTCCTCATTTTCAAATTTTCCATGCATGCATAAAAGTTGAGGACAAAACCATCACATATAAGGCCTGAACTTCGGATATGGCCAAGCAGCTTACTCACTAGATTTTGGAGCTTAGCAAGACCAAGGTCTGGGGTTCAAGTCTCGCTGGGTGTTCTTTGTGGTTAGCCTCCGCTGTTCTGCAATGACTTACCTGGCCCGGATGGAGAGGCGCCCTTCCGGGTCCTCGGGGATTAGTCGGGTTGTTGAGGGGCTCTAAGGGTTCGTGCCACCCCGAATAACCCGGGTTAATAAAAAAATAAAATAAAATAAAAAATTTAGAAAACCTTCACGCATAAGGTACGGACTACCCGAACAACTAGCTTAACAGATTACTAGTATAATCAGAAAGTGGAAACAAAACAAAAATTTAGATGGAAAGAAAAAGAAAGCATATACTTTCTCTTTAAATCTTTTCATAGAAACTATGAATGTTTTCTTCTAGAAAATCTAAATAGCTAATTAACGTAAAAGGACATTGCTGGAGAGTGAAAAACTGAAGACCAGCCTAATATTTGGCAATATTTTTTGCACAAATTGGTTGCTGTCTGACTTAAAACCACGTTCTCATGCTTATCAGTGCATGAGCCCAAGGTTTACTGTTACACCAAACAATGGACTCTATATAGTTTTGTTTTTTGTTTTTTTTGTTTTTTGTTTTTTTTGTTTTTTGTTTTTTGATAATTAAGAATGTATTAGAAAGCATTCAAAAGGGGAACGCATCCCATAAGCTACACAAAGGCCACCCTAAGGTCCCAAGGAGCCCAAAAAACCAACAAACTCTATATAGTTACCTAATACAGCTGCTGAAATAAACTCTGTGAAGTGCTCTGCATGGAATTGTTGGATAAATGTCATTTATTGCAACCATATCATAAAGGTATAACTGCATACAGAAAGGACATGTTCTTTTAAATGAATATGAATGATGGTGGAGTTTATTTTCCATTATTCTATTGGGAATTGAAATCAAGGCTAGGAGGAGCGAGTCGTGGAAGACTCAAGGAATAGAAGGATCTGCTCTTAAAGATGGAAAAGGTGAGTAAGAGGACTGTATTTTCAAAACTAATGTGCTAGTGTGCTACCCATAACTATAATATCCCAGCTTGGTGAGGCTTTGCATAGGAGATATTGTAACTGGATGAGTTATTTATTTGTATTTATTTATTTATTTGTTAACATAAAGATATTGTTAGGCATTGCAGTAGACTGTACAATTGGATGGTCATTAAAGAATTGGTTTCTTATCGCTATAGTACTTTATTTTTTATAAATGGGTAGGTTTTCATGCTTACTTGGTTTTCTTGCTACATTTCATTTGTATTGGTGAAATGTTTTGTCCACAGATTCCATATACATGGTTGCAAATTAGTTTTACTTCCACCTCTGCTTTATTTTTCTCCAAGACAACATCTAATTTCTGAACTGTTGTCAAAGACCTTAGATCTTCAAGCTTGGAACTCAAGTCCTTCAATATGTCTGAGTGAATTTGTGAGATTTTCCAAGTTTCCCTTTGTTTTTCCTTTACTTAGGGAAAATTAGGTTTTAGTAACCAGTCCTAAATAAAATTGATAGAAAATGACTAAGAAGTAAAGAAAAGATGAATAGTCAATAGATTTAAAACTTAAGTGCCCCCCCCCCCCCCCCCCCCCCCCCTCTTCCTCCCTTCTCCTCCTCCTCTCTCTCTCTCTCTCTCTCTACTGCCACCACCTAACACCACTACCAATACCACCATCTCACCATTGGTTCACCACCACAGCCGCCACCACCACCATCATACTTGGTTCATCCAAGCCCTCAGAAATGGACACCTTTCAAACACTATCCTCGACGAACACTGAACATTGCTCTAAGATTGGAGCATTTTCAATGTGATCAATTGACTGTTTATTGGAGTAAATTCAGCAACATACTTGTTCCCTGCAATGAGTAAAGTGATCAACTCAAAGAGTCTAACTTGGTTGAGTCACATGTTTATATGTGCGGAGAGAGACTATTTGAGAACATTACCTTTTCGAGGTTGAGGTTTCGTTGTTGTCACAACATTTTCTCTTCCGATTTACATGTCTGAGAAAGAAACGATGCAACCTGCAACTGAGTTTGCAACAACATCTGAGTCAATTTGGCTTCCAATTTGACTCGCCACTTCCCTGCTTCATACCGCAAAGCCTCTCTGGCCCTGATCATCTCCATCTCGGCGAGTTCCATTCTTATCATCAACTCAGAGAAGACACGGAAACTTGCCGCCAAATCGGCCAACTACTTTGAGTCGGAGTCGGAACTCCCCGAATCGGAACTCTCCGAATCGGAACTCTTTAGGGTTATGGAGTCTTCATCTTTGACAGTGTTGGGAGTGTCAACCTCCCTAGGTGTGTTTAAAACATTACAAAGAAGATTCTTGAGATATATTTGGAAAATGATGAATCATGTCTTTTTTTTGTAAAAAGAGTAGTGCAAATATGGCCTCCCATATATATATATATATATTTCTAATTTCTCTTTCTCATAAAATGAATATAATACAGAGTATATACAGATAGATATTTAGAAGCTCGTTTTGAAGAGCCTTTTCATTGTTTGTTCCGCTTGTATTTTTTTTCTCTTCCTAGCAATTTCCCTTTGCAAAGAAAAAACTTCAGTGAGGAGGACTCATAAAAGTGCATCCAATTTCTCCATCTTCCGATGATTAAGATGATTTCAAAAAGAGAGGAGACGTGCATAAAGAAATCGGAGATAGAGGAGAGAGAGGAAGAGTTTTTCTAAAGAGAGAAAGAGGTTAGATTTGTCTAAATATGAAATAATTCATTATAAGAATGGTATTGTAGTAATAAATCTCAAATGATCACTTATCTGGATTTAAGTTTTAAATTTGGTAACTCTTCGTCTTTTCTTTACCTTATGGTCACTTTGGAGCAATTTATAAGGTAACTTTAGAGCAATTTTGGTTAGGCTTGGTCGCTGAAACCTAATTTTCCCTTTTACACTTATGTTCTGTTTGTACATTTGTAAATTTCATTATTATTTGTACTTGCTAGAGAATACTATAAGTTTTATCTCAAGTCCAAGATCAATGACAAAAGTGGCCATTACTAATTGTTGATCCCGTTCATAAAGATTGTTGGGAGGGGAACCCAATTATTTATATTATTTACACAAATAAGGAAACTCTCAGACTTGGTAACCCAAGTCCCAAGCTTTTATTACTACACTGACAAATTTTCCCTTCAAAATCAATGACACAACTTTAAAATTCTTTGTACGTCAGGAAAAAAAACTCTATATTAGGATTTTTATTTGTGGTTTATTAATCTTCCAAAATGATTTTTCATATATGTTGTAGGCTTGAAGAAAAAAACCCACATTGGCCTTTAAAAGTAATCAAACGTGGTTGATCACGAT